TGAGACAACTCTTCATAAAAGACCAAAGGAGATTGATGTAAGCAACATCATAGTATTACCTTCAACATTGAACAAAACCAATAACATCAAGTAAACTAACACCTTCTTCGTCTATCAAAACTGTAATTTTCGTCCGGAATGATGGGTTAGTTTTCTTTTATGTTTTCTTTTCTGATTTTCGATTGTGTAGCTTTTGTACGTTATTAAACACTAATGTTAAGATAAATACTTTTTTTAATTTTTTCAGGGATTGAAAGGGAAATCGGGGAAGACTGTGTTGAAATAGAATTAAATGATTCAAATGTCTGGGAATGGGAAAATGAAGACTGTGATCAGAATGTTCATTTTATTTGCGAATTTCCAAGGGTTAGTATGAACATTCTTTTTGGAGTATCTGAAAATATTGAATATATCTTTTGTATCATATTTGACATGCTTAAGCAAGATCACTCGTGTACATTTAGACTCAAGTACGTGCAAAACCAAAAATAACTCTCATCGTAATATTGTTTTGGCTTTTTGCAAAGGAAATGATTTTAAAAAAAGTAAGAAAATTGTAAAGAATGTTAAAATGGGTTACAATATCTTACTTAATTTTTTTTCTGAAAGTGTTACAACAATTGGGTATAATAAGCTAATATAAAACTTACGATAGTACCTATTTTCAACTGAAGAACGCTAAACATTCATATTACATTTATTCAACAGTTTAAATCTAAGAAATTAACATTTTCAATTAATTATATCCATGACTTAAACTTTACGAGCTTTTGCATTTTGAATCAGTGAATATTATAATAGGTCAAATGGAAATTCGCTTATTCCAAACACGGTGAAGTCAAACATCAGTCTACCAACACCTATAAAAAACTTCTCAACACCCCACCCCCTTAAAAAAACCAAACACAAACAGGGATGATAAAAGTTGCAACTGAAGAGTAAGCAATTCTTGCTCAACATATGATACCCGTCATATTAATCATGGTAAGGAATGTTCTGAATTGTTCTGCATGATTCAGACAAAACATTGCATATTCTTTTGACTAGAATAAGTATTGTGTACCACTAAATTTAAGTTTGATTATATTGATCAAGCATTTTCAACATTTCATCTCAATTTATTTATATGAGCTAATGTTACATATGTTTTTATATTAGATTAAACTATATCATGTTTTTTTTTGTCTTTCAGAAAACCTGTCCGTAGAAGTGTATGAAGCCGTTGTTATATTTCAATGGACGAATATTACTTATCCATGGCGCATCAAAATAATAAACTAGAATCATATTGCTAGTGTTATTTAATTTGTCTTAGCCTTAATCAACCAATAGCAGTTATTCCTCCAATCTCTTTATTATGAAAATAAGGAAATGTAGGGTGATTGCCAATGAGACGACAACTATCCACCAAAGCACAAATGAAGTGGATGTAAGCGATTATAGGCAACCGAGCGGCCTCCAATAGTGACAAAAACATACCGGTTTGTTACAGTTAAATCAATTGATGACTATTGAACAGCGGTATACTAATATTGCCTTTAATTATACCGTATAGTCGGCTCTTATACAATGTAGGTACCGACATACACAATATGAAACAATTCATATGAGAAAACAGCTTAATTTAAAAATGTGTAAGCATCTTTCAAGAATGTGCTTAGATTCTAAACACAATCAAGCATATATTATTTCCATGGTTTCTTGGTAAGGCTTTATTATACACATTGAACTTAACATATTAGTTTTAAATCGATATAGGTTCTCGGGGGGTTGGGGGAGGGGTTGGGGGAGGGGGGGGGGGGCACTTCAATTTTAATTGTTAGGGGTGCCGCTGTGGTTCTGTTACCCCACCCTTTTCATACAATTTAGATCTTAAAAATGTATACCTTTTCATATATTGTGTAGACAAAAATGTCCTATCATCTTGTATATAGGAAGTGATCCCTAAATTGACCACTAATTAAAAGCCCGACTACTCAAATAGTCGAAAACAAACCTCCTTCGGCTGTTGTCTGCTCTTTGGTCGGGTTGGTGTCTCTTTGACATATTCCCCATTTCCATTCTCAATTTTACATTATCTCAATAACAAAATAGCTTTAAACAAGATGTACATATACATTAACATTGACAAATACCATTTAGTGACACCTGATCCTTACTTATTATCATTAACAAAAATGTGCCCTTTGAGCTAAATATCTCGATCAACTTTTTATATATCTACATCATCCTTTCCCTGAATGTGACCTACTGAGTTAGACTTATCACGGGGTTTGTAAGTCCATGAGTAACGTGACAGATGTCACATGTAGAGCAGGATCTGATAACCCTTCCAGAGCACCTGATATGATATCGCCCCAGTTTTTGTTTCGGGGTTTGTGTTGATCAGTCTTTAAATGTTGTGTCTGTATCCTATTATTTGTCTGTTTGGTTTTTCAGGCATAGCGTTATCGAAATAAGAAGATGTGGTATGAGTGCCAATGAGACAACTCTCCATCCAAGTCACAATTTTTAAAAGTAAACCATTATAGGTCAAAGTACGGTCTTCAACATGGAGCCTTGGTTTACACCGAACAGCAAGCTATACAGGGCCCCAAAAATGACTAGTGTAAAACCATTCAAACGGGGAAACCAACGTTCTAATCTATATAAAAAACGAGAAACGAGAAACACTTAAGAACCACATCAACAAACGACAACTACTGAACATCAGATTCCTGACTTAGGACAGGTGCAAACAAATGCAGCGGGTTTAAACGTTTTAATAGGGACCAACCTTCACCCTTATTTGAAACAATAGTGTAACACCACAACATAGAAAGACACACTATAAAATATCAATTGAAATGGATTTACTCAATCAAAAGGCATATTAACACAAGTGAACATACACTGAACGAATAAATTTGATATATGATACAATGTAAATACAAAATCAATAAAATAAGGGGTGAATAAATAAAGGCAACAGTAGTATACCGCTGTGAGATGTTAAACAATTTAAAAAAAACAGCAACAACCTTGAACAAAAAGCCGCCAAATACAATAATATACACAGGTAAATGAAAATAATTTTGTTGTAAGGTATACAGTTTAAATTAAAAACGGAAATATTTTTTACAAAATAAATAGTTTTGTTGTTCATACTACGAAGACGTGAAAATTATAGTCATACCAAACACTTATCAAAGCTGGTATATAGACGAGATATAACCCTGATTATCGGTTTGTTTTCGACTTTAGCGTTTAAATGTCCCTCTTGGTATCTTTCACATCTCTACTACGTTCAGTGAACAGTTAAATATAGGACAATATCAAAAGGTGGAATAATTTCTGAATGGATCACATGACAATGAACATTCGTTAGTTATTAGTTGATTTGACTGTAACCTCCTGCTGACCTAACCTAACCCAAACGTTTTGCCTGAACTAAAAGTGACTTACAGACTAACTGACAGAAAGGCTAATAGGTTGACGAAAAAATAATGCCCCAATATTGATGACGGGGCATAAAACTGATGATATATTTCAACCTACATGTTGCCTTTATGCGTATTACACTTGTTTCAAAGAGGCAAATTAAGTAGAACCTTGAAGCATGTGACTTTGTAGTTTATAATAAAAAAAAATAAAAACCATTATCTTAACATGTTAAGAAAGAACAACAGTTGGCAAGAGCTTTAAGAGAGTAACTATGTTACTTGTAGACTACAATTACAAGCTGAAGGAATTATCAATTATGATTTTGAGAACGTAAATCAAGGTTGTCTCAAAGTCTTGTTGTCCGACGTACTGTATCGTCTGTTGGTAAATTTATATATCTAGGACATTTCTCGTCTCATGCTGTTAACAAAGGAAAATTTAGCCACTCATCTAACGGAATACGGTGTAATAGTTCTGTCTTACAATTGAAATTGGTGCTCTTTTATAGTATTTATTCTTCTTACCTTTTTAATATTTGATTGCTTTAAAATCTATACTGAGAGGGGCCACTTCCTATATACAAGGTGATAAGAAATTTTTACCTACACAATATATGAAAAGGTACTATACATTTTTAAGATCTAACTTATATGAAAAGGAATGGAAATGGGGAATATGTCAAAGAGACAACAACCCGACCAAAGAGCAGACAACAGCCGAAGGCCACCAATGGGTCTTCAATGCAGCGAGAAAATCCCGCACCCGGAGGTGGTCCTCAGCTGGCCCCTAAATGAAATTGTGTGCTATTTCAGTGAAAATGGACGTCACACTAAACTCCAAAACATATGAATGAACTAAAATTAAAAAAAATATACAAGACTAACAAAGGCCAGAGGTTTGTTTTCGACTATGTGAATAGTCGGGCTTTTAATTAGTGGTCAATTTAGGGATCACTTCCTATATACAAGATGATAGGACATTTTTGTCAACACAATATATGAAAAGGTATACATTTTCAGGATCTAAATTGTATGAAAAGGGTGGGGTAACAGAACCTCAGCGGCACCCCTAACAATTAAGTATTGAAGTGCCCCCTCCCCTCCACCCCCCGGAACCTTTATCGATTTAAAACTAATATGTTAAGTTCAATGTGTATAATAAAGCATTGCCAAGAAACCATGGAAATAATATATCCTTGATTTTGTTTAGAATCTAAGCACATTCTTGAAAGATGCTTATAAATTTTTAAATTAAGCTGTTTTCTCAAATGAATTGTTTCATATTTTGTATGTCGGTACCTATAAGAGTCGACTATACGATATAATGAAAGGCAATAGTAGTATACCGCTGTTCAATAGTCATAAATCGGTTTAACTGTAACAAATCGATATGTTTTTGTCACTATTGGAGGCTGCTCGGTTGCCTATAATCGCTTACATCCACTTCATTTGTGCTTTGGTGGATAGTTGTCGTCTCATTGGTAATCACCCCACATCTGCTTGTTTTTATATTACAGAGATTGGAGGGATAACTGCTATTGGTTGATTAAGGCTAAGACAAATTAAATAACACTAGCAATATGATTCTAATTTATTGTTTTTTTGCTCCAGGGATAAGAAATATTCGTCCATTGGAATATAACAACGGCTTCATACACTTCTACGGACAGGTTTTCTGAAAGAAAAGTAAACATGATATAGTTTAATCTAATATAAAAACATATGTAACATTAGCTCATATAAATAAATTGAAATGAAATGTTAAAAATGCTTGATCAATATAATCAAACTTAAATTTAGTAGTACACAATACTTATTCTAGTCAAAAGAATATGCAACGTTTTGTCTGAATCATTCACACCAATTCAGAACATTCCTTAACCATGATCAATATGACGGGTGTCATATGTTGAGCAAGAATTGCTTACTTTTAGGTTGCAACTTCCATCATCCCTGTTTGTGTTTGTTTTTTTTAAGGGGGGAAAAGGGGGGGGGGGGGTGTTGAGAAGTTCTTTGTAGGTGTTGGTAGACTGTTGTTTGTCTTTTGTTGTTTTTTTTCATGGTTTTTTCAGTTTCTCTTCGACTTATTCCACACTAAAACGCGTTTGGATTAAGCGAATTTCCATTTGACCTATTATAATATTCATTGATTCAAAATGAAAAAGCTCGTTAAGTTTAAGTCATGAATATATTTAATTGTCAAATGTTAATTTCTTACATTTAAACTGTTGAATAAATATAATATTAGTGTTTAGCGTTCTCCAATTGAAGGTACTATCGTAAGTTTTATATTAGCTTATTATACCCAACTGATCTAAGACTTTTAGAAAAAAAAAATAAGTAAGATATTGTAACCCATTTAAACATTCTTTACAATTTTCTTACTTTGTTTAAAGTCATTTCTTTTGCAAAAAAGGCCAAACAACATTACGATGAGAGTTATTTTTGGTTTTGCACGTACTTGAGTCTAAATGTACACGAGTGATCTTGCTTAAGCATGTCAAATATTATACAAAAGATATATTCAATATTTTCAGAAACTCCAAAAAAGAATGTTCATACTAACCCTTGGAAGTTCGCAAATAAATCGCTCTGCATCTTTACAGTCTTCATTTTCCCATTTCCAGACATCTGAATCATTTAATAGTATTTCAACACAGTCTTGCCCGGAAAAACTTATAGTCTCTGAAAAAATTTAAAAAGTATTTATCCTAACATTAACGTACAAAATCAACACAATCGAAAATCAGAGAAGAAAGCATGAAAGAAAACTAACTTATCATTCCGGACGAAAATTACAGTTTTGATATACGAAGAAGGTGTCAGCTGATGTTATTGGTTTTGTTCATTGTTAAAGGTAATACTATGTTGTTGCTTACGTCAATCTTCTTTGGTCTTTTGTGGAGAGTTGTCTAATTGGCAATTATACCACATTTCCTGACTTCTATACCTGAGAGTACATTGAGGTAAAACGACACACATTGTAAACATTTTTTGCAGTTATATAAATAAATTACTGACATATTGATTGTAAGTTCAAAATTTAACTACTATGTATGGTATGGTTTATTTTACCACTAGAAAAAGGAAAAACCGCAAACTATACATTTAAGGGCAAAAAATAATATTATGAACTTGAAACTTCTATTGTGAATGGTGATATCCACGTGTTTAGATATAATGTAAAACTCATCGACATCGATTTGTTTAATAGTGATCAGTGTGGACATTATCAATTTGTCAGAAGTCTAGGAGCCTTTATCGCTCACCTGACAGTTATACATACAATTGATTCAATGTCATACGAATATATCAAATAGCTTCTGGCGAAATGCAAGGAATCGATAAAATTCATCATTCAAGATAATTTCGGTCATTTGACTCATTTGATATATTTTGTGATTTACATTTATCTATCTGCTATCGTTTTTTGAAAACACAAGAAAGTTAATAAAAACTAAACTCTATGAAAAACGTGATGATTTCAGATTTCCAATCGTCAACTTCCCATTCCACAGCAGTAACATACCTCTGCCTCATCTTTTGGGTTTTACATATCTCAATTGATTCGTTATGCTCGAGCATGTTCACATTATACGAACTACATTTGCAGTGTTGTGCTCCTTTTATACAAAAAATGCTCCAACAGAGGTATGAGGAAAAACGACAGAAATCGACACTTCATACGTTTTACAGTCACCATCACGAATTGTTAAACCGATACGACATCTGTGTAAATCAACTTACTAGCAGCGACATGTTTGCAGTCTTAGATTTTAAGATAACAGAATAGTCCTCTAAAATGTTATTTTACCGATTGTTTCCTATTTCTGGTTGTGACATTTGACTAATCTTGTTCCTTTTGTTGTTCATTTGATTGCGCTGATTGTTACCTTGGTGTGTCTTCTGAATAGTAGGTGAATTAATTTTTACCCAGTGTACTGATGGCCCTCAAAAGCATACACACTGTTTGAACCAAGTGCCAATAATGAGTCTTTTGTAGACGGATAGCGCGTCGGACGTACGAAATTATACGGCAGTATCTTGATGAAGATTTTCCTTCGCCACACGTTCATTTGTAAGTTCCAAGTCAGTAAACTTGTTCGTGGTTGTTTTTTTGTAATCCATAATTTTTTTTTGCTATTTTGGTGAATCTGCTTGAAATTTACAGATCTTTGATTATCTCAGACTAATGATCTGCTTATCTAGGCTCAGGGCGATTTAAGACTGTATACTTTGAAGACATAATGTTGACTTCGTTGTGTCTATTGTTTTTGTGTAAGTGAGTCATTGTCTCTTTGACATATATCTTACATCTCTTTCATTTATATTTCATAAACTCTAAATCATTCGATTTTGTCTTCATAAGTATTGAAGTATTTCTTGATCACACATCCAATAACATCAGAATATTAGTCTTATGAACAGAACATTTTACCAACACATTTTTGACTCAATTATCTTAGATAGTAAAACTTACTTTCTCCAAATGGAAGATTAGTCAATGAAAAAGCAGCATTGTCAACGGCAAATACATAATTCTCATCATGGGTAGGACTATTTGCGCCAGTCCATATTGATTGGGTAGTTTCTTCAGAAGAATAGAATTGTAATAAGTATCATAGGAAGATTCATTATTCAAGTCAGTTACACAATACAGAGTTATTAGGAAGACGACTTAACTCGACACTACATAAGTGTTCACCACCACAAATGTGTTAATCGGTACGATCGGTAGTTTTTGTCTGTACCCACTAGCGAAATGATTTGGCAGTCTTTAATATTTTGATAACATCAACGTCATCTAATCTGTAATGCGACTGATTTTGTTCTATTGCCGATTGTAAAATTGAGATTGAATGTGGGTTCTAATGGCGGATGCAGTATGCATAGAAGTAGACGCTTTTCCTGTCGACTCAATTGGTTTTGCTCCGTTTGGAGTTCATGCGAATTCTCAAGTTTTTTTTTGTTGCCCTGATTTGTCCTCTTAATCGATTTATTTTGTTTGACATCGGTAAAACACTCCTGCTTTAATTTAGTGCACAGCAAAAAGAGTTGTATGAAACGTTTGTAATCACAATGTTTATATAATAGTGTGCCTTAAGCTTTTGAACGGAGTAAAATAGAAATGAAAATAACTCTTTATCAATTCGATGCGTCCGAAGTGATTTTATGGATTTAGCTTCATCAGGAATGGTCATAATCGTAGAAATATGTGAACAATATAAAATATAAAATATAAAATAAACCATGATGTTTTGCTGCATTAACGTATATTTTTTTTTAAATATCTTTCGTATACCTCATATCGGGAACTCTTAGATGTTAACAACAGTCTAGAAGGGCTACTGTCCTAGTGTGTAAAATTTTTTAATCTTAGATATGCACTGGTTATTTGGATAGGCAGGTTAAATTTACATAATTGAATTGGGTCTTACGTCTTTGTATAAATTGTGAAAATTTGAATGAGAATTAGAATCGTAGAAAATGCCGTTACATGCTCTGCAGATTTGACCTTTTCCAGGGATTACACAGAAATCAATGTAAGCAATATAAAACAAATTTACTACTTATAAAGTCTTCTTTTATAAAAAAAAAGCACTAGATTTCCAGGCCCTTTCATGTTAACCCTTATGTGTGTGTACATAGTAAGCCGTATTTTCAGGCCCAACTATTAAACTAATTCTAAGTGTGTCTGAAATAGTAGAAATATCCAAATTCACCACAAGCGAAATATGCTTAACGTGATATTCAAATATAAACATTGTTTATAACTATGTTGCTTAAATGGCGAATAGGTAATAGAAAATCAATCGTTTCAAGATGACGAAATGTCAAATTCGTATATTGACTCAGGTTGTGAACTGAACTGTACGGTTTTGGAATGTTTTAGACAATCGGGAGACCGTCGTGCGGGGCTCCGACATTGGAAAGAATTAAAAGCAGCGGAGAAGGTTACAATTTGTCATTACTATAAGCTAAATGGTTTACTTGTAATGCAAAGATAAAATGTCTTTACCTGGCAGTAACACGTAAACATTCAATGGTGCAGAAACCATTCCTAGGGCAAGAAAACAGGGAAATATTGAAATAAAACTAAGAGGTTCGACCCAAATTATGCAAATTGTTTTATTCTTTCAGCTTATATTCTGACTTCAAAAGGTTTGGTTTAAAAACTCTTTAGCTCTATATATGTAAAAGGAATTAAAAAATAGTTATTCCTTAAATTTAATAACATCAATTTGTAAATCATCATTATTCTTGTAACATTCGATAAAAATTTAAAACCTTTAACTTAAACTTGAGCTATCCTTCGCCACCTTACACACTACACACCCATCACAGTATTTTCCGCAAACAAAACTTAAAATAATCTTCCCCTTTTTCTAATGTCATTCTGTTAAATATGGACCGATTTAAAAAAAAAAAATCAGCTTTTGCCTTCATTCATTGACAGGAAACAGGTGTCGTTATTTATGAGGCGATTCACAAATAACCACGGGAGTTTCCGTGTTTATTTACCATGTTTACATTGGTAGGTAGATAAGACAGTCGATACCAAATCACGTGATAAGACCACCTTCAGTAAATAGAGCAGGCAAATTCGGCATTGCAGATAAACCACAAAGGAGTTATCACGTACTTGACAAACTGAGTCGGAACCTTTTATTTTCTTAAAGAAATCAGTGGGATGGGAATGTGCTAATTTTTCGTTGGAGTTCCTGTCAATATAGTAATTCCATGGTACGATGTAATAATAAATCCTACAAAGCATGTATAAGCACTTACACATTTTTACTCAAATTTTGTTTTCAGAAGATACAGAGTCATGAACCAAAAGTTATCGATAAAATAGAAATGGCAAACCATAGTGAAGATGACAACGACAAACTCCCGTTTAAAATTTTGAAAAAATTGCAATTCTCACTTTGTATTTTATTATCGATCCCATAAAGCTTTTGGGATTTATTTCTCTTACTTAACGATGGACTTCAGAAGTTCTAGTATATCTTATAATTTGATAAGAGTAAGGATCCACCGATCGCAAATCCTCTCAAACTGTTGAAGGAACTGAAACTTTCAGGAATTTTTAATTCATGTAAAGACTTTCCAGTGAGCACCTCCTATGTAGTTTCTATCTGTTGTTTCTACTAAGCTATTTTTTATAATCAATTTGTTTGAAAAGGGGTATGCAACTTCTTTCAAACAAATTAATGAAATTCAATGAAATTTTCAGGGATTAGCTATTTATAGTCACATTTTGTTTTTGATCCGAAAGGTTGTATGGGTTTCGAACAGCAAACAGGGTTTTGGCTTTTGTTATATATATATTTGATTAATTTAATATCTACGCATTAGAAGGTGGAATTAAAATTTATGTTTAAGCTGTATGGTGATAATGGCGGGGATTATTTTCTTTTCTCAATCAGAGGTCAAAGAACTTTTTTCTTAAATGAAGCAGCTTTGAAAATCTTTTTCAGAACTTTTACTTGGTCAGAATTAAATGCAAAAACCGGCTCAATGTTAGTTCCAATTTTTGCAATCGACAATATTTTTGCAACCGAGATCCTTGAAACATCACCAAAAGATTACACATGTATTAATGTGTTGCAATTCCTATTTGCAGATCCAACATTATTCCGGATTTTGGAACTTAGTCATTTTACAGCAAAATTAACAAAAGTCGGTATTTAATATTGGCTATCAACTATTCCTAGTATTCAACAATGTTTCTTGACACTTTGAAGATAGTTTGCACCTTGTCGCCCTTGGATGGTAATAAGATTCCTTCGATTCGAGGATAAAAACACAAAACACTAAGCTTATACGAATTGCATCTTGAATTAATAATCTAAGCTTGAGAAACGCAATCTACATCTAAAGGTTTGACACTTTTTCCACTCTTTAAAAAAAATCACAATGAGTAACCTAAATCAGAAGTCCATGATCAATCAATCTTTTACGTTAAAGCATGGCAGTCAAATCGATGACAAAAAACTATGTGTCTCGATACCTGTATTTAATTGATATATGTTTAAAACTGATACAGGATTTTTTTTCATTTTTACTTCGAATAAGTAAATGAGAGTGCTTTGTCAATGAATACATGGCAAAGTCGATATTATTTTTCATACATAAATGAACAAAATATTCAAATACTTTACTCATAACTTACGGAAACCAAACGTATCTTTGACAGCATTAGCTTCTGTTCGTGTATTTGGCCTCCATAGGTATGCTCCTGGTGTCGAGGTACATGCCTTCTAAAATTAAAAAATAAGACATATTAATTATGCAGTTTCTAAGTTTGTAAATTGTTTCTAGATAAAACAATAAATGATACATTTATTTTATGCCTTAAAATTGGAAAAGCATGATCAACAATGCCGTATCTTTTTAAGTATCGGTATTGCTAACCACATTTTTCATTTATTGGTTTTTGTTTATCATTATTTTTAATTTGTTAGTTTAAACATGTTTTATTGTTCAAAAAGGACAATTGGATTAGACATAAGATTTTCAATTAGTAACGTCTTCTCCAAAAATTTCTAATTTGTTGTCTAACTGACGTAAACCTCCTATGTTTTTTTAATTCACATTGCAATAACCCGCTTGTGTGAAGCATGCAAAATTTAAATGGATGGCAGAAAAGCTGTGCAGTTGAACAAATGACTAGTGTTGATATATTTTCGACTTTGAAAATACCTTCATCATTTCTCTACATAAAAACATGAGGAGGGTAAGGTTTTTTATATATTTTTTTTTGATTAATCGAGGCGAAAAGTATCTTAGATTTATTCAATTTTTTTCTATCGATAAACATCGTTGTCAACATTCAAATAGTAATGCATGAAGGATGGTTAATATTGAGTTTTTACAAATATGAAAGTTTTTTTTATATGGAAGCAAGTATGCATGGATAAGCTATTTTCATTGATATCAAATAATCCTCGAATCATGCTTCATAACTCCAAAATTGCTAACTTTCATGGAACAAATTTTTTTAGATAAACATTGTGTTCAAGAATGATATTTGCAAAAATAAAATCTAGAAAAGGAATACTAGGCCTATAAATTTGATCTCAAGTGTGTTATTTTTTTGTGAATAATCCTCCTGGAGGAGTAACAGCTGTTAAATTACATCAAATATCAATACGATAGTTAAATTAAACATTCGAAATACACTGTCATTACCATTTCGCCTTCTATCCGTAGCAAAGGAATTACATTTTATAAATGGAAAATATCAAGCGTGTCCGTAAAGGATGACCAAGACACTAGATGCTTCAGACAAGTACAATGGTTGACATAAGAAAGATATATCCATTTGTATATTCTCCAAGGGATGGTTGAATTAGACCAAATTTCATATTAATTACATTCGTTATCAGCCAATCAATACAAAGCCTACTATGAGAAAGAGTAATTAAATCTGATACAACATAAAACATACTCACCAGAGCATCAGACCATATTTTCTTATTATCTTCGCTGAAGAAGTAACAATTAGGACTAGCAGTTTGGTCAGACAACAACCTATATCTTGCAGGGCAATTTGTTGGAACACATGGTGCTATTCATATGACACAAAATAAGTTAATTATTCAAATAAACAGCAACAACATAAAGTTAAAGTGGTATATTAACAGACATTACAATGTAAAATATACGAAATTCACATGATGCAAATTAAATTTATCTAAATATTTCTAATATGGAAAAACACAATTTCGGCAAATGAATCCCCTAGTTCATTTGACGACTAACACACAGGGATTAGTCTATATTAAATGTTTGTACTATAAAGCACAGTTGTTAACAACTAGATAGTGCAATATATAACTTGTTTATGTTCGTCACAAGTTATAAATACTGCTTTGCAATGCTTTAATCTTGAATACATGTAACATAAGATACAAACTAGCATATGGAGAAGTATTTTGCACAACACTTTATCATGTAATAACAACGTGATCATGAGAAAAAAGCAGACAACTTACGGTGGCGCTTGTGTTTTTGGTCGCATTTTTTATGCGTACAAAACCAATCAACCATACCTATTCTGTATCAAATTAGTATAATGACTGGATGATATTTACGACTAACGATGGGGAAAGGCTTTTTTTATGCTTTTTTTTAGCTTTAATGCGAGACAATACCCTTAAAAGATGTTGCCAAAGACAATTGGAGAGAATATCTTGATGTTTTACCCCCCAAAAAGTGGTATGCTAACATAATGATGATGGTTTAGGAGGAACAGCTAATATGCCATAAAGAGTGGCATGATTTCGATAAACATTTTGTTGGAAATGTATTTATATTTTTTAATCTATAAGAGTCGAAGTTTTCATAATTAATGTAATTAAAGAAATCAGAGAGGAATGAATGGTTTCAATAAATGTTTTCTTAAAAGAAGAAATTATTTAACGTCTCTCCGATATGCTATTTTTGCAACTCGAAAAGTGAAACCTTAAAGCATTTACTGCTACATTGTAACAAATTAAGACTATTTAGAAAATACATCAATGACTTCATTAGAATAGAAATAAGTGATGAAAATTTTGTTTTGAATGAATTAAATTGTCTGTCATTTAAGATACCATGGGAACTATTCCCATCTATATATGCATATGTTTATTCAGTTTATCAACTTAGTTATAATAATAATTCCGATGGTTTAGTTCAGACTCTAAACACTACATTTCATAGAAATAGAGATATATACTAAGATAAAAATAATATAACTTGGTAAAGTATGCTACTTAATTATCATAATTTGTGTGTATATGTTATATTTTTTCCTTCAATAAAATACTTTTAATGTTCGGAGCACAATTATGACATTATTTGGCCACATATACCTCTTCTACCAACGTGAGAAGGAAGGTTGAGGCTCTCATCCTAATATTACTTTAAATACATTATTTCTAATTATTTGTTTAGAAAATAGTATATGCTAACTCTCTGTTAATAATCATATGAGCTTATAAGCTCAAACTTAGCTTCTTTCTGTGCATATTTGTTAGACACTCTATAACAACTCTTAATTATTAATATTTTATACTAATAAATTCCCAGTTTTTACTTATAACTTAAGTCATATTGTGATGTAAATGTTAAAACTTATCTCCAAACCCTACAGTCTGAGTGCTCAATAAGAAAAAAAAAAAAAAAAAAAAAAGAATGGTTTCAGTATTGACAAACTGTAATTCTGTAATAATTCTTGGAATGTTTGAAGTTGAAGCCGAAAAAGAATGTAATTTGTCATCTCCATACAATATAAAAAAGGCAAAGGTCCACTCTCCCAAAAAATAGTAAAACGTCGATTTTTTAGCCGATTGATTTTACGGACTTTTTGACGTCGCCGACGACTGTAGCGCCACCTAATTAATTCCCCCTGTTATTGTTGCTGATAGAACTTGACGACAACGGACGTTTCCAAGGACTTGCCTTCCAAAAGATTACTTACTTGTTTGTACAGCGGCTTGTGTAGTTGGAACAGTAACCAAAACAGTTGTTGGCACAACAGGTCTGGGTGCAACACTTGTTTCACTAGTAACAGTACTCATCATTGTCATCATTACCATTGGTATCGAGAGTAACGCTATGGCTAAAAATGGAATAGGAGGGAGTCCAAAATCTGACCCTGTGCCAAATCCAGAACCATCCACAAATGAGGTTTCTGAAAATAAGAAACAAATGATTATTTTATGTAACGCTAAGATGAATTGATGATTTTTTGAAAGTATTCTTCAGAATTTTATCTGCTTACCCTTTCTGGAGTACTTGGAATCACCCAAGTTTTTTCAGTTTGATGAGTGTTTCTCAGTCATTTCTTTTTAATTTTGAAAGTTTGTCTTTTGCGTATTAGTGCGTCTTTCCTTTGGTATCTTCCTCGTCTCTTGTATCTTTGAGCGTTCCAAGTTTATCGAATAACTTGAATGAATGAATGAATTTTATTCTCATCAACTAATGACATAGTTATAGAGACAATAAGTATATACAACAATATAATATAATAAACAGTGCATGTGTGAAATAATGATATACATTAACCAGGAGGAGAGACTTTCACATAAACAGCTTTAATACATAGACATAATTTTTCTAAAACTGTAATATTACTTGAGGAAAACAGATTACATAGTTTCAAGGTGTGCTTCGAATGCGTTTACTGTTTACGTCGACTTGATACACAACCATTTTTTATTGTGGTGTTAAAATATTTGATATTCAGGCTATTAAACAGGAAATATTATATCAATTTTAAAACTGGGTTTTAACTGAAAAAAAAGCATACGAAAATTTGCATTAGATTCCATATACTGGAATATAGAATTGTAACATGTTTTTCTGTATCACCAATATGACAAAATTTACAAAAGAGTAAGAGAACATATTTCTAATTTGAAAACTAAAATAATAAATAGGCTTCCATTCCAAAAAATTGAAATATATACACAGAAGAAAACGAAATATAGAGAGAAATATATAGATAAAGATTTTTGGAATATTAACGGTTGAACTCGATTAAAAGAGAGAAAGGCGGAAGGTTTTTGTGTGGGGAGGGGTCGTTCAATAATCTAGAAATAAAGCCTTTCAGACCGGAAAGAAACAAACATATTTGAGTACTTATAGATCGTTACGTTGTGTCTTTTGTCTCTTCGTCTTTCAATTACTTTGATTTTTTGTGTTTTAAGTCGGTATGTTATCATTACACATATGTAACGGTCCAAAGTTACAGAAGGGCTAAGCACTTTTCACATAATGCATTAAATATGTGCTTGTCCAAGATAACGTCACATAACTAAACACACTAAAAGAGAGAAAGGCGAAATATATAAAATTTATAGTGAAGCTCATCAATCGAAAATAGAACTGAAAATGCCATGGCAAAATACAAAAAATGACCAAATAATAAACAACAGCCAACAAAGCACAACACATAAACTTTAAGACTGAGCAACACGAGACCCATCAAAATCCGGAGGAAAACTTTGAGTGTCATGACATCACGGGACATAGATCTGGGGAAAGAACGCATATTTGAAGCTGGACATAGATTTGCATATGAATTGTACATTTGTTTTTAATGGAATATTATAAATTGTCTAATTTGGAGGAACAGCTAAGAAAACTTCGGACATGCATTATCAGATTTTTACAAGTCCATTAAAAACTGACATTTCTAAATGAGATAAATTTTGTATTTAACATCTTTATATATCAATTCAAACACGTTTAAGATATGGAAACGTCAAGTAGTATCTAAAGACTCTATCTATATAGTTTAATGTGTTCTAAAATGTATTTTTTTGTACCCTATGCATAGGCCCAAAGTTTATTAACACCTGGTAAAAGAGAATGTTTTATGATGCAAAAGCTATATAAAGCGATTCATTTTAAGCCAAAGTAGTAACTAAGATTTGTATGAAATAACCCGTTACTTAAATATGAATCGATTATAAATAATTCTACCTCTAGCTCCACTGTCATCGATAAGAAAAATATCTGTCTGCTGGTCAATTGGATTCTGTCCCGGTATGATCTGTCCTTTGTATGGACTCATAGACAGGAATACCACAATTATTAGCAGGTATAGCTGTAATTAAAACTTACATTATATAAATTTTTCATAACTTTACATCAATAATTAACAAAAAAGATAATTGATTTAGAAAGATATTTCAATCTTGTCAATTCAGCACCTAATGACCACGACACTCCAATAAAGTATTCTCACAGTTCAACGTGCTGGGTGCTTTTAGTTACGGACCATGCACATTGTCGCATTATCAGGATGATATATTCAAATTACAAAATATGTTTTAAAAAGTTAAGTACCTTTAAATTATTAATTCAAGAGTTTGAAATTATGACAGTAATAAATTCGAACGACAGCTTATCACCACAACATTGAAGACTATTTAAAAATTCAGTAAATGACACAATACAGTCATAAGACATAAAAACACGCCATAAAAGTATCATGCCAAGAAAAAAAAAGTTTTAACAAAATAAATAGAACTAATCGAAACTATAATCTGCATCATAATTCGATTTTACATGACAGATTTTTATGATACACAAACAACAGTGAAACAGATAACGTTGAACGAATTACGGAAATAAAAACAGCCATGATCATTGTAACGAGTAACGATTCTTTAATTCTATTAAAACCGGAATGTACATGTATTTAATGCATATCTAGAAGCTCAGGTGAATTCCTGGTGAAATGTTTTTCGTGAATTTATTTGATGTGATTTCACGTAAAATATATATAATGGTGATCAAGCTGAAAAAAAAAGCTCAAATAGCTTTTTAAGCTTTTTATTCAAAACGCTTCAAAGATTTAGCTATAATGACGCAAAGAACATACGCTGGCATGTGACTGTCAATAGTACCTTTTCTAATGAAATACAACAGGCAACTCAGACAAATGCCTAATTGTCGTTGAAGTAAACGGAAGTCTGCAATGAGAATTGTTTTCAACTTTTAATGACAATTTATGAACTTTAAACTGTCAACAGATCTAGGCAACTGGAAATTTTGGTAAAAAATTATGACTTAAAACATAGACGCTCATCTTTTATTTGGTTAATAAGGGGATCACGAATGTGGTGTTTAAAACTTTGGCCATCTTTTACTTCAGAGAACCCCGCACTCAAGGGTACATATTTGTGGTCTTCTTTACTTTAGGTCTCCCTATACTTACGGATATTGTTCATTTACGTTTATTGTTAGATTAGAGGATGATCTAGGTTAGGGAAACTGTATACACCTATGTTACTATGCTTTTCTGAAAAATGTTCAAATGGACAAATATAAGTTATCACTGTTTGAGAGTCTGCTTCACTTGACCAATTGACTTTCTTAAACAATCACATTTGTTTTGTGGCGGCAATTTCATCGAATGTAACGTTGATATTTTCAGATCAATCACTTATCTACTTCCTAGTTGGTGCTTACATGTACATATTTGGACACCTTGCTAATTCCATTAAAAAGAAATCATTAAAATCTCTGTAGTTGCCGTATTTCACTTAGTTTTTTCTTCAAAGAACACGAAAGAGAACATACATGTCTTTTATGAAGGTCCATTCATATTAGATCCAAAACATGGTAGTGTTTTGGAAGTAATTCAAATCTGATCTTGATATCTATAGAAAAATAAAACTAATAACTAAATCAATTTGACAACATTTAAAAAGTTATGATTTGAGAATTACATCAATACATGAACAAAAATGAAGAAAATACTATCTGTTTACAATTTTTCATCCATTTTGTTTTGTAGTAACATTGGCTGCAGCAATAGAACAACATTCTTAAAGGATATTTCTGAAAGCTATTTACATGATTCCATATAAATATAAAGTTGACATATTTTTTAATCCGGAATAAATGCATGAAAAAGTATACTAAAATTGTTGATACAAAACAAGAAAAATAAAGACATTTGACAACTTTTCATTTGGAGTATATATCTTCTAGTTAATACAATATTCCAAAGCTTGTATTTCCGATCAAGATTTCGTTGATAGAGGGTTGCTGCTCAGTTCACAAGGAAACTATTAAACCAAGAGTTCAAAGTGGTGATGTTGAAATCACCAATTCGAAAATTCTACGAACACAATAACGAGTTTGTTTACCGTTATGGAATATCTGTTTAACAGATGACGACGAGTTCGAGTAACTCTTAGAATTTTTCCGCCTCTGTTTCAAAAGTCACTGATTCAAAATATCTGTTATAAAGGCATAACAATTAGGCGAGCTCGTAAATGTCTCTGTTGTTACCATAACATATCACTAATTTAATTAAACATCTGTACATTAATTGTCGGATCCGGATATGGTGTACAAATTTTTGCACCTCATATTTGCGGTATACCATCTTTTCCGCAAGTATATTGTTTTCTGTTTGGTATTAAATTAATACTTTTTAAGATCCAATTTGTTATACTTTTTCACTTTTTTGGTCTTTTGGAAAATGTTGTTTGTGCTGTATTTAGACCCCTCTACCAAGAATTTTGTTTTGCATGCACACGTATAAACATTGCGGTTTTTATCCAACGCAATCATAGGTTTGAACGTTGTTTGCAATTTCGACTTGTTTATATTTTTTTCGTTTGGGCTTGTATTATATTTGCCTTCGGGTTTATATGATCCGTTCATCCTATTTCGACTCTTCAAAATTCAAGAGTCTATCCAAAATTGAGGTAAATTATAATGGCCTTCCAAATACCGTTTCGATTCCTAACATCACTGAAGAGACATTAATTGTCGAAATCCGGATATGGTGTACAAATTTTTGCACCTCATGTTTGCGGTATACCATTTTTTCCGCAAGTTTATTATTTTCTGTTTGGTATTAAATTAATACTTTTTAAGATCCATTTTGTTACATCATGTGATACGTTTATTTGGCAATCGCCAATGGCAGTCAGCAGGGTTTAAGAACATCAGTTGTTCGACCTGTTAGCCAAATGCGGTTTGATAAAATATACATTTTCACTTTTTTGGTCTTTTGGAAAATGTTGTTTGTGCTGTATTTAGACCCCTCTACCAAGAAATTTGTTGAAAATTGCGGTTTTTATCCAACGCAATCATAGGTTTGAACGTTGTTTTCAATTTAGACTTGCGAATACAATTATATATATGTATACCTTCTTC